GACCTGGGGGAGGGTTTGTAAAACAATGAAAGAATTTTTCTTTTACTTTTCCAAAAGGGTAGTGTACTAGGGGGGAGGGTTGGGAAGGGAGAAAAGTACAACAATGAATGAGTGAAAACCCAAAGTCTCTTAATTTTCATTGAAATGAATAATTTTTTTAAAAAGTGCACTGTTTGTTCACAACTTAAAATAGGTCCTACATTCCTATTTTTATAGTCCTCAGGTACTATAAAAAAATGATGTTCTCTATACCTTTTACTTTGTTCCATAATTTAAAAAGAATTTTTCATTTTGTAGGTAATAGTGCAGATCTTCGTTTAGTAAAAACTTATATTGAGCTTGGACTACCTGGAGGAAGAATTGATTTTCTCATGTCTGAGAGAAATCAGGTACAATATGATAAGGTTTTCATTGGAAGTAAACATTTTATACTAGTTTCTATCTAAATATTTGTTCATTACAGAATGCCTCTAGTAGTAGAAATACATTTTTATTTCTATAGTAATTGCCATAAATACATATCCAATAGAAATATAAAATATTTTTATTTACAAGATCTTTTCATGAAAGGGAGTTCATAAGATAATTTCACATTTTTATATAATTGATTCATTATCTGAACCATTGCCTTTTATTTGCCCTGTAGAAGGCCAAAGGATTAAGGGATTGATTAAATGACACAAATATTAACAAGACATTAAATCTTTTCTTTTTCTTAGAAATGTACTCTTCTTGTTAATTGTTATATGTATATTATATTCACTAACTGCCCTAAGAAATAATAGTCTTGAACATATTTTCAGTACCAGTAAAATGAAATCTTGTCAGTACAAAATAATATTTATATTCAATTAGGTTTTTATGCCATAATGTATCCTTTTATTCCATGATTCGTCTATTTTGCCTTTTTTTTAGAATGATACTTTTGCTGATTTTGATAGCATGACTGATCGACTTCTGGATGAGATAATACAGTATATTCAAATATATAGCTTAACAGTCTCAAAAATAAGGTATGTGGTAATTTTGTTGGCTTATTTCAAAATATAAGAGCACATGACTCAAAACATTGGAGGAGAAAATAAAAAGTATCTAGGAAAAGATCACATACTATGTGAGTCCATATATATTAAATACACAGTATAAGCAAACCTAGGGTTTAAGGCAGGTGGTGGCTTAAATCCCCAAAGGGAGAGGGGAAGAGAAGGTTGTTAATGGATGACTCCACCCAGGATCTCTGTGGCTCCTTGCTGCCTGTGCATGTGCAGGTAATCTGCAGCCATCAGGCCTAGTTCAAATTGATTTTTTGTGAAACATTCTTCTAGGTGATATAGCACTGGTCTGTGCATTACTGTGCAGAGGTAACCCGTGGTTGGTGTGATTCTAAACACTGTGACACTTGATGTGTCAAATGTGAGAATGGTTACCCATGGTGGACAGTGTTTGGTGGAGCTTCCCAATTAAAACAAGCTTGGAAGCAGGAGTGGCATCCACTTCCAAAATGGCTTGCCTCCAGAAACTCTATGAACAGTGTTCAGGCCTTTCGTTCATTGGGTTGCTATGAGTCATCTATGATTTGACGGCACCTAACAACAACAACATAGGCAAAGCAGTATGAACAGAGCTCTGGTGGCACAGTGTGCTGCTAACCAAAAGGCTGAGCATTTGGAGCAGCTCAAATTCATCAGGAGCTCTAAGGAGAAAGTTATTTTTCTCTCATGAAGATTCACAGCCTTCAAAACCTGGTGAAGGCTTACTGTGAATGAATTGAAATCAACTTAATGGAAGTAAGTTCAATTTTTGAGACCTGAGAGGGATAGGAAAGTAAGAGGGTCTTAAGAGTTACACTGTGTTTCTTTTTCTGATGATCAAAACATTCTTTAAAAAAAGGTGAATATACTAAAAACAATTTAATTTTATACATTTGGCTGGGTGAATTGTATGATATTTTAGTTTTAATAGTGCTGCTGTAGCACATGTACACAAACGGGTAGCTTTTAAAGAACAGAAATTTGTTCTGGAAACTAGGAAGTCTGAATTCAGGGCATCAGCTCTACATGAAGGCTCTTTCTGATAGGCCTGAAGGAAGAGCCTCATCACTCAACTTTATAGCCCTGGTATTCTACAATTCAAACCCATTGCTTTTGAGTTGGAACCAAAATGTAGTCAATCCTCCAAAAGGCTTCTAAGGTGTAAATCATATAGGAAGAAATCGTCCATCCTGATGCACCTCTGGGAGATTCAAACCACCAGAAAGGCACAGTGTTTCAGTTAGTGAAACTCTAGAGACTACGCCATCAGAACCCCCAGACATTCTGAAGTTGGTAATCTACATGTGTCATCCATCATCCCTGTTTGTGCATGCTTTTGTCCAAAAACTGCTCTTTTGAAGATGCCTCAGTAGTAATTAACTAGGTTGAATGCATGCCTATACTGATACGTCTCATTAACATAACTGAGGAAATCTTATTTTCCACATGTTTATATCCATAGGTACAAGTTTAAATTTCAAACATATTTTGGGAACACACAATTTAACCCTTAATGTACTATGAATTATATCTCAGTAAAGCTATTTAGAAGAGGTTTTATATATAGGCAGCCCTACCTATGAACTGATGAAACAGTAAAAATGCCTTCATGTCATCACTATCATTTGTAAATTTGTTTTCAACACAAAAGAAAATGAAAGTGAAATCAAATTTCATTACTTAATTAGAGATTCTTTATGGTCTGGTAGGAATTTAAAAAAGCAAAACTGCCTCAAAATGAGTAGGGGAAAACTTAGTGCATTCATATTCCAAATAGGTTAGAGGAAGAAGTTGATTAACTTACTGTTACATTTTGTAGTTTCTAAAGAAGCTGCATGTAAGGCACTGGCAAAAAATAAGGCCCAGGAATTGATGGAATATCAGTTGGCATGTTTGAACATAGAGGTGCAGCCCTAGACATACTCACTAGCATAGCCAAGAGATATGAAATTCATCTTCCTGGCAAGGTGACTAGAAGAAATCCATATTTGTTCCATTAAAAAAAAAAAGAAAGAAACAACAGAATGTGGAAATTATTGAACAATATCATTAAAAATGTTGCTTAAAATTGTTTTTATATGATTGAAACAGTATTATCAGTAAAAAACTGCCGGAAACTCAAACTGGATTTGCAAGAGACTGGAATTAGGGATATCATTGTTGATATCAGGAGGATCTTAGCTAAAAGCACAAAATACCAGGGGTTAATTTGTGTCTTATTGGCTATGAAAAGACATTCAGCTGAATCATAGTAAATTATAGCTGACATTGAAAAGAATGGGAATCCCAGAACACTTAATTGTGCTCATACAAAATGTATACCTAAAAAAAACAAAAAAACAAAATGTATACCTAGATAAA